AATTCACTGTTACCTTTTTTTTTTTTTCAGGTTTCAATGCTTGAGATATATAATGAAACGATTCGTGACTTACTAGCACCAAATAGAACATGCTCTGATGCCTCACGAGCAGAAAATGCTGGAAAGCAATATGCAATCAAACACGATGCCAATGGAAACACTCAGGTTTCTGATCTAACTATTGTGGATGTTCAAAGTAGCAAGGAGGTTTCTTATCTCTTGGAAAGAGCAGCACAGAGCAGGTAGCTGGAATTACTTGAATTTTTTCATCCCTTTGTTACTTATTGTTGTATCACTCTTAATACCTTACAACTTTTAGAATCACTTTGTCTTCACATTGTGAATAATGGGTTTAACGAGGTATACCTAATGTTTCTCGACTCAAACTTATTATTTTTTCTTTAATTACAGCCGCAACTTACAAAATACTATTTGCTTTTGTTGTGTTACTAGAACACCGACCAACAAGTGCAAGGTGTCCTTAATCTGATTAACCTTGCTGGTAGTGAGCGTTTGTCGAAGAGCGGATCTACAGGGGATCAACTGAAAGAAAACTCAAGTAAGATGGATCTTTTCCAAATTCATCGAAAAGAATTGTTCTCTTTTAGAAGAATATGTTTGTTTACATTAGAAGGATCTTGCTTTCTCTCTCACTTGCTAATCTTTTGAATGCACTTTACCTAGGCCATCAATAAGAGTTTATCATCATTAAGCGACGTTATATTTGCTTTGGCCAAGAAGGAAGAACATGTGCCTTACAGAAACTCCAAGCTAACCTATCTTCTCCAGGTATAGTTGTTTAACTGAGGGAAATACTTGGGTTTTAGAGTATTTCGTGGCTTTTACACCTAATTAGAGTAATTATGAAAAGCTTCTTCTTCATGACTATAGCTTGGAGAAGCAGAACTTTTCTCTTTCTTCTCTTGAGTTAGGTTGATGAAGTTAAAGAACTTCGCGTCTCACATTTCTAGCTATTTTTTCTTAAATTTGAATGTCAGCTAATATGAAGTAAAACTTTCCTTTTCATATATGAGTCAATCATCAGACCTTAACTAGCTGAAACTGGAACTTTTGCATGTCTGAGTCGGACCATGGCTTTAGCTGTTAGTTTCTTTGATCCGTGCACTGAAAAGTTTTTAAAACTGAACTCTTTTCTGTTGTCTTCCCAGCCTTGCTTAGGTGGAGACTCAAAGACTTTGATGTTCGTTAATGTTTCTCCGGATCCTTCATCAGAGGGTGAATCACTTTGTTCACTTCGGTTTGCAGCTTGTGTGAATGCTCGCGAAATTGGGGTCCCAAGACGCCAAACGAACCTAAGATCATAATCAGATTCTCGTTTGAGCATTGGTTGATTTTTCTTTTTCTTTTTTTTTTTTTT